GGATACAAGCATGGAGCTGAGATGGGGTATAGCGGCAACAAGGTAGGCCAACTCTTATTGCCTGTCCTTTAGAATGTTACTGCCAAGGGCAGGTGCACCCCCGACGGACGGAGGACTGGCATTACCAGAGACCAGAGCAGCAGCGTAGTCAAGGCAGTGGCTAGCAGTGAAGTCACTGACAGCAGCTACAAGTGCAAGACCGACTCAGGAGGAGTAGTAGGGTCATTGACAACTGACGCAAGCAAGCACAAGAAAACTGGATGAGCAATTTGAGCAGCGTCTGTGGGAGGAGCAGAGGACGAAGGGAGCGACGACTGGGAAGGTGATGGAAAGACTAGGACTGGAGGAGCACATGAACGAAGGACCATAGGGTGGACACTAGGACGCGGAGAGACAGGACGAGCACCAGAGGGACGACAAACCTGGTGGGGAAGAACGAGGGACTGGGAACGAGGGGGAAAGGTGGACAAGACAGGGGACGGAGGAGAGCACAGGGGAAAACGAGCCGGAGAGGAGTCCAGGGGAGGGAACTGCGGGCCGTAAACAGGGTCAGGCACAGGAGGAGGGACAGGCAAACTCTGGCTGCTGCGACCGCTGCTGCAGCAACAGAAGCTGCTACTACGGCTGTTGTGGTGGCTGCTACTTTTTGTCCTCTCCAAGACCTCCATCTGTACCTCAGCTACCACCAGCACTCCCCAAAATAGCACCCCTAGGACTAGCACCCCCGGATGCACCACCCACAGAACTAGCAACTCCAGAGTCAGCACCCCCAGAACTAGCACCACCAACACCAGCACCCCCAGAACCAGCACCCCCAAAGCTAGCACCCCCTGAGCCCACAGCCACCTACTACTGCTGCTGCTGCGGCCACTAAGTCTACTGTGGCGGCTGCGGCTGCTGCTGAGGCGAGGGCTGGGGGAGTGGGGTACCAGGGCTGGGGGAGGCGCCACAGGGAGAGCAGGCGCCCCCCTAGCAGCTGGGCCCCCAGAGTCAGCCGACTCCCCCACTGGCCCTTCCGAGGGGAACGGATTGGCGTGGAAGACACCATACGGGGCCGAGCAGGCTAGGAGGGGGTGTGGCAGGTGGGGCAGGGACGAGGAAGAGAGGAGGAGGAGGGACAGGAGTGCTGCGGTGAGGGGAGCGTCTTGTCAAAGGTAACGTCACAAGAGCTGTAGGAGCTGTGGTGTGTCGGGTGGTAGAACAACCAATCAGGGGTGTCAAGAAGAAACCCCGAGAAGGCACAAGGGTGCGAGCTTAGATCTTGTCCGCGCTGGGGGCGTGAACGTGAGCAAGGTTGCCCCAAACATGAAACGCCGATGCTTCACCAGGAGACTCGGTCCAAAGAAGGGTTGACAAAGCCTGTGAGCATGACCACAAGGTTGGTGAGCTGCGTAGGGCACGGCGAATGGCCACAGAAAATGGGGTGCATCGGCGTGGACCATGGAGGTGCGAGCTACCTCCATGACCAGACCGATGCGTGACTCAACGACCCCATTCTGCTATGGGGAGTCCGGCAGTTTGTACGTTTGGCGGCTACCCTCTGCTCCACAAAACTGTCCTAGACTGCCAGAGGCAAACTCGCCACCACAGTTAGAGTTTAAGGGAGCTATAGGCAGGCTGTGCTGGACGCAAACAGCAAAAAGTCATGGGAGGAGATCGGTAAGCACGTTGGCCTTCTGCTCCGACAGGAACACTGTGGTGAAGCGCAAGAAGTCGTCGACGACGACTAGGAAGTAGTGCTCCCGCCTTAGACCATGGACTGGGGCAGGGCCCCCGAACGTTCATGTGCAGTGTCTATAGCGGCGTTGTGGTAGGAGGAATGAGAAGGGGTGAGGGGAGGCGCGCTGCTGGTCCTCGACGTAGTAGGTGCGCAGGGGCACTACCGACGCAGGCAGATTTGGGAGCGACGCAGAAAGCCCAGTGACTAGACTGTGCTGGGACATGTGCCTAAGATGCGTAAGTGTACGGTGACCTAAGCGGTGTTGCCACAATAGGGTTGCGTGGGCAAGGGAGCGACAGGAGCAGGACATGGCTACCTCAGGAGACGCGGCATTTGGTGGGGACTCAGTATGCAGTGTGAAGAGACCTGACGCTGGGTTACGCTCAAATGTGGCTAGACGTCTACTCGTGATTGTGCTTGTTTAGGCGGCGTATCTCTAGTGGCCAGGGAACGTAGTGTTGACTCCTATGTCTTGTATGTGACCTACACCAGCCAAGTTCCTGGCAAACGTGGGGATGTGCGGACCTGTATGGGAGCCTGAAGGAACAGCTGGACAGTTGATGTGTGCAACAATTATGGCTGGGGAGATAGCTAGTCAACGCGGATATGTGCAGGATCGCTAAGAGGGTCTACACTGAACGCAGCAGAGGAGTCTATGCCTGACGCAGCCGGGGATCCTACACTACACGAAGCAGATATAGGAACCAGCAACACTATAGGCATCATTGTATAGAGAATAGAGGGAATGCTCTACCCGAATCATATTAATATCAAAGATAGGAACCCCACGACAAAGCAAGGCAGGCCACAGAGGTACTTGCACCAGCGGGCCGAACTGACTGTAGTAGAATTCATCCAGGCGGCGGAAACAGCAAGCCGCATTGTGACCCGCGCCCCCGCAACCTGGCCTGCCTGCGGGCCAGTCAGCAGCTAGTACGTGCAGGTCACTGCGCCTACAGGACCACCAACCCCCTGGCTTACAGAAGAGCCACGCAAAACCTAGGGCACCAAGTGCCCTAGGCACCAACCTCCACGGCCTCCACCACGACCACCACCCCCAAGGCCTGCCAACCCCCACTACAGCTGCTGCTACTGCTGCGCAGTCCCCAACTCCGAATTCCCACCCTCTCCATCTGCTCCTGTATCCCATACACCCATTGTTGTTGACACCTCACAATCCTAGTCGCCCTTTCCCTTGCCCCTCTAGCCCGAGGAGCGGCGGGGTACATAAACTCTCACTCAATAAAGAAGCGGCCACGGCAGTCTCCGTCGCAGTCTTACCAACGGAGGCAAAGGCAGAAGAGATATTCACATGGGAGGGAGCACTGCCTTGAAAGATAGGGACTGCCAGTGCACCAGAGGAGCCAGCGATGGCACGGAAACGGTCCTCTATCTCAGTCAAGGAGGTGGCGAAGAGGTCAAGAGTGAGCTCTGAGGGGTGGCTAGCGAGAAGCTGGTCGCGGGCGAGGGCAAGGCGGTCAGGGAGGTGGGTGACAAGGAAGTAGATAGTGGCGTAGAGGGGGGTTGGGACGAGAGGCAGCGGGGTCTGAGTAGAGACCGCACACTAGCGGGCCTCAAGGGAGCGCATGTGCTTGACTATAGTGGTTAAAGAAGTCAGGTCGGGGAACAAGGAAGGGAGGAGGAGACGACCAAGCATGGCAGACGACCGGGTGAAGTACCTAGCAAGATCGGCTTTCCAGAGAGTGCGGGCCGACGGAGCACCCACAAAGTGGGAGTGCTCGTCAACCGGTAGGCAACTGGGTATGGCGACATGAGCAGAGGCACCGCAGAAAGCCGAGACTGAGTAGACGGTATGGGCAGCAGCGAGCGCAGCCTGCTGCGCAGATGTCTCATCAGCAATAAGGGTGCCTGGGCGCGGGGGAGCAGAGAGCTCACCAGAAATGTGGGCGTCCAGGGGCTCGTCGTCCACTCGCTGGCTAGTCAGTTGCTAGAGCATAGTTTCCTACTATGGGGTGAAACCGACCGCCTGCCCCTACCCATACAGGCGCAGAATGAAAGCGCTGGTCGTCGACATGCTGGCGGCTGCGGCAGCAGCTGTGGCCATAAAGACAGTTGCGGCAAAAGCGGAGGCAGCGGTAGCAGCTGCTGCAGTGGCAGCAGTGGCGGGTGCTGCGGCAGCGGCGGCAACGACGGTAGGGACGGAAGTAGTAGCGGCTGCGGCAGCGACGGCTGCAGTGGCGGTGGTTGGAATGGTAGCGGCGGCAGTAGCAGCATCAGCGGCGGTGGGAGCGGCAGAGGCTGCAGAAGCAGCGGGCTACAACGTGCCTGGTAACGGGCGGCAGTGGGCGGCAGCGGCTGTGGCGAGCTGGCTGTGAGGTGGTGACAATGGCAAGCCAGCGGCGAGCTGGCTGGCAGCGGGGGTGGCGCGGCGCGGATGCGGGCTAGTGAGCGAGTGGCAAGCCAACGGCGAGCTGGCTGGCGGCGGCACGGCGGTTGGCGAGCGAGCGGGTGGAGAGCCAGCGGCGAGCTGGCTAGCGGCGGCTGCGGAGGGCTGGCGAGCGAGAGGTTAGCCAGCGGCGAGCTGGCTGGCGGCGGGTGGCAAGCGAGCGGGCGGCACTCTAGTGGCTAAATGGCTGGCAGCAGTAGCGGCGCGGCGCAGCTGCGGGCTGGTGAGCAAGCGGTGAGAGGGCGGCGAGCGGGCCGGCGGCTTGCGGGCGGCAGTGGGCTGGCGAGCCGGCTGCAAGCAGGCGCGGGCGACGAGCAGCAGGCGCGGGACGTCGAGCACACGAGCGGGCCGACGACGCGCGGGCTGCAGTAGGCTGTCGAGTCGGCGGCGAGCAGGCGCGGCCAGCAAGTAGCAGGTGCGGGGCAGGCTAGCGACGGGCTAGCACGGACTGGCGACAAGTGCGCGAATGAAGAACGGGGTAGTGCGGGCAGCTAGGGGCGGCGGCACGGAGCGGCTATGAGTGGCTAGGAGGGGCTAGGAGCGACTAGGAGCGATTAGGGGCGGCTAGGGGCGGCACGGAGTGACCTAGCTAGGGGCGGAAGTGTGGGTAGGTGGGCTCTAGATGCCATGTTAGAATAGCGAGAAAAATTGACTAGGAAAAGGGGGAGGGGTGAAACATATTCAAAGTGTTGTCCTCTCTAAGAGCTGTCCTAGCTAGGTTATAACAAACATATCTAACCTAGCTAGATATACAAATACGTTTGTTGTCAACTTGCTCCTGTTGTCATTGGTTTGTCGTTGGTGTGGCCGTGTTGTGTCATGTCTGGGGCATCCGACTTTGTAGTGCAGGTATCTCGGATTCGGGTTGGGCCGTTTCAGCTCGCAGACATGCCAACTCCTGCTGTTACAACTCCTGAGTGGGACGTACTTCTTCAAGTGTTGCCGCCCTTTCTTCATGAGTTATGGCGTTAGACGACGACGGGTCCATCATTTGGCGTTAGACTACTCGCAGCGCGCGCACAAGGGCGCGCTTATGCTGACGGAAGGTACCTGCATCTCGGCCGAGGCGCACGGGTACCCCGACACGCCCGGGATCTACACGAACGCGCAGATCGCGGCGTGGAAGCCGGTGATCAAGGCGGTGCACGCCAAGGGCGCGCTGCTCTACTGCCAGCTGTGGCACGTTGGACGCGCGTCGCACCAAGGTTAGTTCAAGTGGGCCATTGCGCCCGGGTTACTTCAGCGGTGATGCATTGTTGCTTGTACAATGGCCAATGGCGCTCGAGTAAAGCCCATGCTTTAATTCCGACCACCTATTTAGCTAGTATTACCTCCGATTGGCAGCGTGAATAAGGTGCACATCCATCACATTCTCCTGAGCGCCTTGTCCACCACCTGTAGACGTCTCGAGAGTCAGATACCGTGCTGACGTTCGTTCAAGAGAGGAAAGGAGAAAAGAATCTTTCTCCGTTCCAACGAGTCGTTGTCTCTCCCTCCCGTCTCCGCGTTTCATCGTTTCAACATCCCAACCTCGATTTCTCGTTTCCCTCTCTCTCACTGCGCGCCGAGCAGAGTACCAACCCGATGGCGCCGCGCCAATGGCTCCGTCCGCCATTCCGATTGTTAGCGAGGTCAAAGTGTACATCAGCACCGGCCCCGCGGACTATCCCACGCCTCGGGCCATGACCGGCGAAGATATCAAGAGGGTAAGGCGCCCTCATTAGTAATGTTTCGCCGCGCTTCACGAGACGCGTAGGGACCCCGCATTTTCTTCTCGTTGCTCAGCTTGCGTTTTTTTTCCGTGACCCCTCCCGACTCGTGTGGCGCTGAGGAGCCAATTTGAAGGCGTGGTGACGTGCGCGAGGTGGCGTGACGGAACTGTAGCAGCGCGCGTGTGGCGGCTCCGTGCTGATTAGCGCCGCTCTCGTTGAGACGCTTCGGAAACGGCCCGTAAAGAGATTACCGAATCTCCTTCCCATCCCGTTTCTATCTTCCCAATCCCATTCGATCTTCCGTTGCTGCGTGCAGGTGACGGAGGAGTTCCGCGTGGCAGCTCGCAACGCAATTGACGCCGGATTTGACGGCGTGGAGGTGCATGGAGCCAACGGGTATCTGCTGGAGCAATTCATTAAGGTGCGATAGTAGCAGTTTGTTTATTGAAGACCATTTCGGTATACCTCGTTGACAGAACATGATGCTCAGTGTCACGCTTTATTATTTCAGTACAGACTTTTTCACTTTTCCCATTGCTGTCCGTCAGGATGAGTTGAGATATTTATTCACTCTCTTCCGCCACTCCCTGCCCCCCCCCCCCCCCACCTCTCCCTCTGGTTCATCTACTGCTCACCCCACCGTGTTTCCCTCATTTATCCTGTATTCCATCCTCTCCTCCCCCCAACCCTCCGCTCCTCCCTCCGCTTTTTATTCCCCCCCCCCCCCCACACCAGGACGGCATCAACAAGCGCGAGGACGAATTTGGCGGCTCTTTGGAGAACAGGCTGCGCTTCCCCCTGCAGGTGGGGCTGTCTGTTTGACTATAACGAGGTGACCTGCTGTGATTGATGGCATGTGTGAGTGTAGTGTAACTGTTGTGGCTCCCTGGAGAGCAGGCTGCGCTTCCCGCTGCATGTTTGGGGCTCTGTGTAACGTGACTGTAAAGAGGTGTGACTTGCTGTAATGAAGGCATGTGTGACTAGTGAAGTTTGGCGGCTCCCTGGCAAACAGGCTGCGATGACTTCTGGAGTTACGGATTGCTGTAGGTAAGGAGGTGTGACTCTAGTTAACGAGGTGTGACTGTAGTTATATTTGAAAGGCAGTGGGTTGACCGTTGAACGGAGGACTGGCAGTGGTTTCTCTGTAACCCTTTAGCCCCCCTCCTTCCCTTTCTCCACCACCCACCCACTGGCCAGCACTACCATGACGCATTCCACAGTAGCACTGTCTTTTCGTCTGCTAAATAAACGCACCCCTCTCGCCCCCCTGCACACGCACGCAGCGGATCAAGGCAATGGCAGAAGAGGTGGGTATTAGCAAGGTGGGAATGCGCCTGTTGCTCCCCACCTCGCTCTTACCCCTAGTTGACCCTCCCCTCCCACCCCCCTCATTCACTGCACCCTACCTCTTCCCCCCCCGGGCAGGTCATCAAGGTGGTGGCAGAAAAGGTGGGCGTGTGGCTGTCGCCCTACAGCTCCTCCCTATCCGCCCATCACCCTCCCCCCTTCCCCTGCCGCTTCCCCCATCTCTTCCTCCCCCACCCCTTCCCCCGCCTGGCAGGTCATCAAGGCGGTGGCGGACGAGGTGGGGGCCAGCAAGGTGGGAGTGCGCCTGTCACCATACAGCACCTTCCTGGATGCTTTCGACTCGGACCCCGTGAGCACGTACCTGCGCCTGGTGGAGCACGTGGACGGCATGGGGCTGGCGTACCTGCACTTCGTGGAGGCCCGCGTGGGGACTGGAGTAGACATGGAGGATACCAAAGAGGTGAGGTGATGCTCGATGCAGTGGGGAGGTGAGGTGATGCTGGGTGCTGTGGGGAGGTGAGGCGATGCTCGGTGCAGTGGGGAGGTGAGGTGATGCTCGGTGCAGTGGGGAGGTGAGGCGATGCTGTACCGCAGGTGCAGCACTTGATGGCATGGGGCTGGCGTACCTGCACTGGGGCACTGTGTTAACAAGATCTCATGTCCTCTCCTCTCCTCTCCTCTCCTCTCCTCTTCTCTCCTCTCGGCTCTTCTCTCTTCAGGTTTTATCTACTTCACGCCTACTCCTCTTCCTGGAATGTCTAAAGCTATCTCGCCGTGCAGGCAAAAGGGCTTACATTTCATGACTAACTTCCCTTCTCCTCTCTTCGTCCTGTCAGCTCCACCCCTCTGCCTGCAGACTTTTGAGCCTTCTGCAATGCGTTCAAGGGGCCTTTCATCTTTCCCCCTCATCTCTCTCTCCCTCCTCTCCTCCCTGTTGCCCCTCTCTTCTCTCTGCCTGCAGACCCTGGAGCCCTTCCGCAATGCGTTCAAGGGGCCCTTCATTGCTTTTCCGTTGTTCTCTTACTTTCTATTCTCTCCTCTTTGTCTTTGCTTCTCTCTGCCGCCCCCACCCCTCTGCCTGCAGACTCTGGAGCCCTTCCGCAAGGCATTCAAGGGGCCCTTCATTGCTGCTGGCGGCTATAAGGTGCGCTCCACTTCTGCTCTGCTTTTACAGTAGCTATGCGGGGTTTTTTCCTAGTTCTGTACAAGGAGGGGAGCATAATGCATGGGAAGACACGGTGCTATGCATGGTGCTATGCATGGTGCTATGCATGGTGCTATGCATGGTGCTATGCATGGTGATATGCATAATGGTATGCATTGTGCTATGGTGCAATGCATTGTGTTATGGTGCTATGCATGGTGCAATCCATGCTGCAATCCATGGTGCTATGCATAGTATACTGCATGTGCTATGGCTGTCAGCCTATGACAGTAGGCACTACACTTGCTGTTGAGGACATGCGATTCATACCTCACAAATTACCCCCTTCCCTTTCCATTCTCAATTCCTCTGCAACCCCCTCCCAACTTCTCTCCAACTACCAGCGTGAAAACGGCATGGCAGCCATTGAAGGTGGGTCGGCGGATTTGATCTCGTATGGCCGTCTCTTCCTGGCTAATCCCGACCTGCCAAGGCGCTTTGAGCTAAACGCACCACTCAACTCGTACGACCGGAGCACCTTCTTCTGTGCGGAGCAGGTCAAGGGGTACATTGACTACCCTTTCCTGGATGAGGAGCCCAAGAAGGAGTAGAAGAAGCCCAACGGGGTCCTTGAAATGGGGATACGGGGTGAGCCGCTCAACCTGCTCAACCGCAGAAGCAAGGATGACCCAAGCCAAGGATTACATTTACTACCGTTTCTTGGATATGCATTGGTAAGTAGGGGATTGGGGAGTGGAGACAAAGAGCCCAAAAAGGGTGGGTTATTGTCACATTATAGTGAATTGCATTAATGTATGCACTTGTTTATTTATTAATGTGGTTTGAGCCTTATTGTAGAAATGGTTGTGCTTCAAAAACCCAGTTGGCTGATTGGAAAAATATGGTTACAGGATGGGGAGATGATGGTGTCATTAAGTCACCAGTTCGAACCACTGGGACAAAAAGGGATAACCTCAGGAGACTTATGCTCCATACATCCACCTTCCCTAGGGAAAGTCTCCCTAGTACCCTCCTTAGAGAGACGAGGTTCGACAGGGCTATCCTAGTGCCACAATACACCCCCCCGCTGGGATAGCGCGCACACCAGGAATTGAACCCTGGATTGCTCTGATACCATGCCAAACTCAAAGACCGACACACGATGGCGCCAGGCGGAGACAGCAAAGGTCGTCGAGGCGGCGGTAGCAGCGGGCAGCGGTGTGACCGGGGCGGTCACACACGGTGCCACAAAGGGGACCAGTCCGAAGCTAGTACTGGCAACTCACACAGCTGGAGCCGCCGCCCGATGTTGAGCTGCGAGGGCCGCCTCCGCGGCCACCACCACCAAAGCCGCCGGGCCACCATGGCGGCGGGGCCCCCTCACTACTGCTGCTGCTGCTGCTGCGGCTGCTGCTACTGGTGCTCCTGCTGCTGCTCTGGGGCGTCAGCTCCCACCACCTCGTCAGCACCTCCTGCGCCAGCACCACCTCCACCGCCTCCGCCACCCCTCTCTCCCCCGCGCCCCCCTCAGGGACGACGACCCTTACCCTGACAAGACTCCACTGAGGCCGCGGCGGCGATCTCAGCGACAACATTGGAAACGTCAGAATAAGTGCACTGGGAGGGAGCACAGCCCTGGAAGATAGGGGCCGCCGCAGTACCGCTAGACTGAGCGATAGTGCGCTGGCGGGTCACTATCGCGGACAGGGTGGTGACAAAGCCACTAAGAGTGAGGTCAGCAGGGTGGAGACTAAGGAAGGCGTCGCGAGCAATGGCTAGGTGGTCGGCGAGGCGCGTGGCAAGGAAATGAAGGGTAGTGCCGAGGGAGGGAGGCAGTACAGTGAGCTGTGCCTCAGTGCCAGCAGCGCGGTAGCTAATCTTAAGAGCACGCAGGTGAGTGGCTAGATCAGCGACAGTGGGGAAAGACCCGAGATCAGGGAAGAGCAGGAGCAGGAGGAGACGGCCAGCCAAGGCGGAGGAGGGAGTGGAATCGGGAGCAATGACTACATCTAGGAACTCCTTCGCAGTCTCTACGGCCTGAAAGCGAGGGCGCTCGGACAGGGGGATGGCGTGACTGATAGCAAGCTGCGTAACGGCATCGGGCAACTCCCAGACCGAGCGAGCAAGCTCAACAGTGGTAAAGGCCTCACGCTCAGCAGACATGGGGGCATCAGGGAGGGCAGCAGGCACAGGGGGGCAAGGCAGCTTATCATCGACATGGACGGCCAAGGACTGATCGTCCTACCGTTAACCTTTCAGGTGGCAGCGCAAGTCGGCGGGCCACGCCTCAAAGTCAACCGCTTGACCCTTAGCGTCCAAGCGGAGAATGGTGTCCGCCATCGCGCAAAGCGGCAGGAGCTGCAGGACATAGGAGGCGGAGGAGAGGGGAGCAGTCGGGTGCGGTGGAGTATGGTGGAGAGCGATGGAGTGTAGTGGAGTGTGCTAGAGAGCGATGAAGAGCGGTGGAGTGCGGTAGGGTGCGACGGAGTGCGGTGAAGCTGCGTGAGAGGAGACAACCGGTAGGAGCGCCGCCTCAGATTGACACCAGGGCCGGCGGCGTGTAGGGGCCGGCAAGAGGAGTTGGGGCGGCACGGCGAGCCAGGGCCGGTGGCTAGCTGGGGCGGCGCGGTGAGCTAAAAACAACGGCGAGCTGGGGCCAGCGACAAGCTGCGGGTCGGCGTCGAGTTGGGGCAGTGCGGCAAGCTGGGGCCGACGCGGCTAGCAGGGGCCAGTGGGGAGCTGGGGCCGACGGCAAGCTGGGGCCGACGCGGCTAGCAGGGGCCAGTGGGGAGCTGGGGCCGGCGGCGAGCTGAAACCGGCGTCGAGCTAGGCCGGCGCGGTGAGCTAGGGCCGGCGGCAAGCTGGGGCCGGCCTCGAGCTAGGGCTGCGCAGCGAGCTGGGGCTGGCGGCAAGCTGGGGCCGGCATTGAGTTGAGCCCGCGTGGTGAAATGGGGCCAGCGGCGAGCTGGGGCCGGCGAGACGAGCTAGGGCAGCGGGGCGAGATAGGGCCTGCGCGGCGTAACGGGGCCAGCGCGACGAAACGGGGCCAGCGCGGCGGAACGGAGATGGCGCAGCGGGCTACGGCGGCGCGGCAGGATAGGGCCAGCACGGCGCGCTGGGGCAGTGCGGCGAACTGTGCCAGCACGGCGAAACGGGGCCATCGCGACAGGCTAGAGCAGCTCGGTGCGGCGGGGCTTGCTCAGCGGGCTAGGACAGCGCGGCAAGACTAGGGCGACACATCGGTCTAGAATGGCGCGATGCGACGGGCTAGGAAGGAGCGCCCTATGCTAGACTAGAGCCGTCATAGGACCAGGATTTGGCGGAAGCTTGAATGATACTAATCAAGAAATGAACGTTTACAAGCAAATGCACAATCCTATTTATACCTACGAGAAATCTAGAGAAGGGTTCGTCCGTAATAACACCACGTAGAAGCACGGTAGGGAATCTAGAGATACGGTGATAGTGACGGAATACTCCACGCCATAGAAAACGTGTCACGCAAGGAAAATCCGAAAGACTCCGTAACACAATTGATATATACGAAATATATCAATGTGTCGTGAAAAAGTGTAGGGATTTCCAGGAAAGGAAAAGCACACAAAATAATATACAATAAATCACAAATAGAAAATGGTTGTAATAAAAAATTCGGCAAGCCTCATCCTCTCACAAGAGCGGGGTAGACTACGGTAGGATGGGGCGGAAGCACGGGGCGGTGAGACATACCTACAGTAGCGTGATACCAACTCAGAGTAGCAAAGTTGACTCAAGGAAGGGCTACAAGGGAACTATATGGTTGGTATTGTACTCTCTAAGAGCACGAACCCTTATAGCCTATAACTGCTACATATACAATATATGTATAAGTTGACATACCCCCTAGGCTAGACAAGGGGCAGAGCCTAGCAAGAGACACGTAGCTCAGAGCGACACTACTAGTCTAACCTCTGAGGCTAGGGTCGGAAGACCAGTCAGCAAGAGTACAAATGAAACAAAAGTAACCCAGGGCGGCACTAATGGTCCTGCCATTGAGACAAGAGCCACAAGGCCAGTCAAGATAATATAAGGAGTAGTACACAATTAGGGTACTAGTAAGTGAGGAGCTACAGGAACTAGCCCAAGCTGTACGCAGTGCCGCTGATGATCTTTAGGCGCAAGCGCCTTGGTAAAGATATCAGCTGTGTTGGCACTAGAGGCCAAGTGTACTACGCGTGCCTGGCAGCGCTGCTGTAGCTTACGCAGGACGAAGTACTGCAGCTGGATGTGCTTCGCTCTGCCCCCTAGTTGAGGCTCCTGACATAGGAGGATCATGGCCCTATTGTTAGCGTACACGACCGAGGCAGAGCTAGGCCGCTCACCTAAGTCTGTGAGCAAGAACATCAACCAGCGGAGCTACTGTGCCGCCATGGCACCGTAGTAGATCTCAGCCTTACAGCTAGGCTATGCAACAGACGACGAGTGGGTGGACCTCCAAGAGATACCGCCTACTTCCTTTTTTTTTTTGTTTTGTTTTGTTTTTTTTGTTTTTGTTTTTTTCCCTCTAGCAGCCCTAGGAGGACCTGAGCGTCTCAGCGTTGTCTGCCCACGAAGCGCCTGTGTTCCCAGTAAGAACCACTGGCCTGCGTCCTCCCAGCACTAGCCCCATACCCGATGTACTTGCTACATAACGCATCACCCTCTTAGCGGCCGACCAGTGCTGGGGTTGGTGTCTGCCTGTCGCCACAAAGCGAGCGAGGATAGTATTGGGTATGCGAGATCTTGACGAGTGCAAGTCATCAGGTACAAGATGCAGCCCATAAGCTCTATATACTAACCACTGGGCTAAACTGACTCGTCAGGAACTGGAGCCGAGAGCATGTGACACATTGGCAGAGGGGTGGGCTGTGCGGAGGAGATCTGAAGGCCGAACCTCTGAAGGACCTGGCGCACAAAGTGTGAGTGTGTAAGAGTGATGGTGCTTGTTGCTCTGTCCCTGGAGATCTGTAGCCCAAGGTAGTGGCGCAAGTCTCCTAGGTTAGTGCAGGTGTGTCTCCTCAGTAGCTCAGCCTTTACCGAGGCCAAAGCGTCTCTGTCTGTAGTTGCGAAGACCAAGTCATCTACAGTACGTAGACTAGGATGTAGAACGGGGTCTAGCCTGGGCGAACGAAGAGTGACGGGTCAGTAGAGGATGGGAAGAACTGAAAGTCTTCTAGTATAGCATGCAGCGGGCTGTGCCACTCGCGAGGCGCCTGCCGCAAACCGTGAACTGAGCGCCGGAGGAACCACTCGGTCCTAGGAGGAAAAGTGGCAGAGAAGCCTGGCGGACGGCACAGGTAGATTTCCTCGAGCAAACTTCCCTGAAGAAACATTGTGGAGAAGTTCAGCGAGTGAAGCTCGTAGTCGCACTGTGCTGCTACGTAAAACAACGCCCGAAGAGTGGTCATCTTCAGGGTCGGGGCGAAGGTCTGAAAATAATCAACACCATCGTGCTGACTGGAGCCTCTAGGAACGTAGCGTGCATTGAACACCGGCGGCTCTCCAGGAGGGTGCTTCAACTTGAAGGGCCACCGGCCATCGACTACGTTCACCCCAGGTTGGGAAACTATGTCGATGGATCTCGAAGATGCCATCTGTGCATGCATGGCAGCTATCCACTGAGAGGCCCAGGGTCCCGAAGTCTCCTCAGCGTTGGTGCGAGGGGTCAGGATGTGAAGAGCTTGGGTTACCCTCAGCATGGAGAAGAGATGAGGAGCGGCCTCGGACAGGAAAGCTAGCTCATAGTGCCTGTCCTCTAGGACGTCAGTGCTAAGGGCAGGTGCACCCTTGGCAGACAGAGGACAGGCAGAGTCGGAGACCAGAGCATTGG